CCTCAAAAGCTCATGATTGCTGTCAGTGTAGTCAGTAGGTGATCATTAGGTACAGGCAGTGTGCACACTGATTCTGATGAGGAATGTCTTCTCTTCTTAAATGCTCGGGGTCCCGAGCAATCAATGCTTTGTCATCGGGATGCCGACGGTACAATGTGTTCCTCTCGGGGAGGATGCAATAAATGCTTTGTAATAGGAGCATTTATTGCCTTTCATTTCCGAGCCTTACCGCATTGAATGCGGTCTCATCAAGGGAATGGTGCAATTAATTGTTTGCTTTCCCAAGTCGCGTGTCAGCAACGACATGCGTTTTCTCTGTTTCGATGTGATATCATTTGCCACGCGTCCATCTTTTAATGGCTGTGACCCCTGCATTTCAGTACGTTCTGACATTGATTGTGTAAGACGAGGTCATGATGAATAGTCTAGACTAGCCTAGGCTAATGACCTGTACGTCAATAGTTTATCCTGGAGTAGAGGAAGCGTCCAGAACGGGGTACTTCTCGGCACCGAGGAAAGGCTCATCTCGGGGACCGAGGGAGGTATGCCGACCGAGGTACATATCAGACCGAGGCCACGTGTCGGTTGTAAAACACACTGAATGCATGATCCTATATGAGGTACCTCGGGGGCGAGGACCATTATGCGTTGATGATGCTTGATCTTAGCAACAGTGTTTTGGTAAATACCGAGGACACGTGTCTTCATCATAGAGTATCTCACAAAAGTCCCATCATAGTATTAGTTGGGATTTGATACTAATTTAATTGTTTCGATGGATTAGGTCGAAAAATAAGGTTGGAATAGTATTATTATTCTTGTTATATACATCCATCCTTCACCCTTATTCTTGGTGAGAAGTCGTTATTGCCTGAGCCTCTGTCACAATCAAATAGTGCCTTGGTCTCAAAAAGATAAAAGAAAAAAGAAAAAGTTTACAGTAATTACAAGACTTGTTCCTGTTCCAGTCAATCGTAGACTATTGACAACTACGAGAAGTAGTTTAAGTGATAATAAAAACGAGTTATAAATTCAAATATTTTGAATTTGAATCATGACAATACCTTAAGATAAGATTTTGAAAGATTATTTTTCATGAATACCTTAGTCTCGGCGTGGATGATCTGTCTTTAATCAAATCGGAGAAAAGATTAATTGATATACGCGTAAGCTCGTCTGGGCGACAATTGAACCAAAATATATATACATCTAATGCTGCACTTCCGAATTGAAGTCTGACTGTTTTAAATTTAAATTGAAGTCTGAGAATTCGAATCCTTCTGATTGCTTAAAAGCAGCAATCAGATATTCTTTTATTGCCTTGTTGGTTTAGAGGGAGGACAAACAAAAGTTAAGTTAGAAGGAGAATCGAACCATAATATCCATTTTATAAGTCGGGTTCTTACCAACTACAAATATATATGTATATGTATACATATATATATCGATGTGATAGATAGATGTGTCGTTACTTCGAGAGAAAGATTCTAATAAATATCATTGTCAATGGGTAAAAGTTGTCGATAGACATTAAGACGGATTTCCTAGGAAAAACTAAGATGAGTCCATGGTTTATGTCAATATCATTAATAGGTGTATCCACGTTGTCACATGGATGATTTTAAAAGAATATAGTTAACATTGGGGACCTCATCGGAGTGAGAAAACTAGGAAAAAAAAGAAAGAGCTCTCAAATTTGAGTGTCATTGCTTCAAGAAAAAGATTCTAATAAATATCGTAGTCAATGATTATAGATAGTTGATAGAGTTTAAGACGGATTTCTGAGAAAAAAAAAAAATCAAGATGAGCTCATAATTTATGTTCATATCACTAATAGTTGTATCGTTGTCGATGATTAGAGGTTGTTGATAGAGTTTAAGACGGATTTCCTAAGAAAAACCAAAGGGGAACTCATGATTTATGTCCATATCATTAATAGTTGTAGTCTTGTTGTGACATGAATGATTTAAAAGAATATACATCACATTGGGACCTCATTGAAGTGGGAAAACTTTAAAAAAACGAAAAAACAAAAAAGGTCTTAAATTTGGCAGCAAGGATCAAAATGTCGTGTCGACACGTCCGAAACGTTTCGGAATTTCAACACTCCGAAACGAAACAGTAGTTGAATCACAAAATTCCAGTGTTTCGGTCGAAACGGTACTGTTTCGGACCGTTTCGGTCGAAACGGCATTGTTTCGAACCGTTTCGACAAAACAGTGATATATTCGGTTCATTATGAATAATTACATTTAATACCTCATTATAATTACATTTAATACCCACTGTAATTACATTTAATACTCACTATAATTATATTTAATATCCCACTATAATTACATTTATTCCCACTGCTCTTCTGTCTTTTATAATTTTTTTGTTATAAGAATAAATAATTACACTTAATACCCTACTATAATTATATTTAATACCCATTATAATTATGTTTAATACATACTGTAATTATATTTAATACCTCACTGCCTTACAAGTTTTTTGCTTTTTTTTTTTGTTATAAGTATTAACAATTACATTTAATACCCTAATGTAATTATATTTAATACCTACTGTAATTACATTTAATACCCACTGCAATTACATTTAATTTTTAAGTATACATAAGTATCATTAATTTAATTTGATACCCTTCATTATTAGTATTATAATAAAATCGTATTATTAATTGGATTATATTACCGTAATAATATGATTTGGAGTAACTATTGCCATCATATTTATGTCACATATGGAGTTTCTCTAAGTAGCTACCCAGAGCCTACACCGATGTATGAGCCTGCTCGACACTCCATAGGGGAATGGATGTAACCATGTAAGTATGTACTCATTAGCATTTCATGTGTATTATAAGACCTTAATATTATGTAAAAATGTGTTTATTTCATAAAATTAAGTGTTTGAAACTAATTTAAGTGACTTTCGCCTCAAGTCAAGCCTTTTTTTCCCTCAAATTTAAATTTATTCTTGTATAAATTGATGTTAACCTAATAAATATGTTGAATTAATAAATTATTTAGCATATCTTTATAAATTAATGGATTGCATTTGTGTTTCTATGCGTTTCCATATTTTTTATGCGTTTCCATTGCGTTTCCGAAATGTTTCCGAAACGTTTCTATTTTTGAGTTGATCGAAACGGTACTTCGAAACGAAATTTTGATCCTTGTTTGACAGTCAACATTCAATTAAAAGTATATGGATTCTACCAAATATCATTTTATTAAAATTTTTGTGAACACTAAATTATTGATTTGTAAATTTTTGTCACACCTACTATGTATAGATTGAACCGTCTATTTGTTGTGGATAAATGAGTTAAAAAGATATAAATTCATTAGTCATTACATAAAATTTAAGCACCTAAAAAATTGATCCGATTATACCAAATATGAAATATCAATTTTTCTTTAATTACATAAGTTAAAATTAATTTTTATCAATTGTTTTTCACAAAAAAATGACAATTTTCTCAAAATACATAACCTCCAAAAAAAAAAAAAATCAACACATGTATACTATTGTATATAAATAATATATAAATTAAATTATTCAACTTTTAATAAAAATAAGTGATGTGATAGAAATGAACGAAAAAAAAATACGTGGAGATAAAATTTAAAATGATAATTCTCAATCTAACAATAGGAATTTTATTTAATGCAAGGTGATATTTTACTTATTTTTATAAAATAAATTTAGAATTTCTACAATTACTCATTAACCACATATATTTCTTAAATTCGAAAGTGACTAACACAAATCAAAAACAAAACGTCTAAATTTATTATTTTCAATCCAAACTATCTTTATACCACAACTACGATACTAAAAAGAAAAATAGATTATTATACAAAAAATTACTATTTTTAAAAGTTTATATTAAATTAAAATAATTTATAATTGATCCTAAAAATATTGAGATCGATTTGAATTACTTGAATATGTTGTAACTTTTTTTTTATAACTTATAATTTAACCTCTAAATTTATAACTTGCTTGATCAATCATAGATTAATCATATTTTTTACAAGAGTTAATTGCACTAAAAGTCCTCAAAATATGAGATTTGTTTTATTTTGGTTTTCACTATTTCAATTGTATTATTTTGGTCCACAAAGTATTGAATATGTTTTTATATGGTCTCTCAAGTAGACATCGTGTAAATTACTAACAATTTTTTATCATAAACTTGTCACGTAATACCTAAATATGAACAAAAAATAATTTTGATAACTCTTAAACAAAATTTGAGTAGCTCTTGACAAAAATTGTGTAATATGAATAAATTTTGACCAAAATTGGGATAACTCATGATTAAAATTGTATAATTTAAATAGCTATTTAACCAAAATTTAGGTAAAAATTTAGTCAAAAATTATTCAAATCATTTTTTTTATATATATTTAAGTATCATGTGATAAGTTTATGATAAAAAATTATTAACAATTTAGAGGCTGTTTGCTTGAGCGGTCATATAAAAATATATTCAAGATCAAAATAATACAATTAAAATATTCGAGACTAAAATAAGATAAATTCGGTACTTTAGAGATCTTTGGTGCAATTAACCTTTTTTACAATTGTATGTTATACTTAAAAAATATAAATAAAGCTAATGGTCATCGTCCTCATCCCTCTAAATTTCTTTAAATAAATTAATCGAAGTGTCAATCATGTAGTTTTTTTTCCAGACTCCAACAACTTCTTGGCGTTCTCTCTCGTATATATCCACACACGCATACCTCGTAGTTGTTACCGAATTTTTTTTTCCCAATTCGTTAGCTTTTCTCGGAAATTTTCCGGTTTTCTTTCCCTCCAAATCCCTGTAAATCAGTAACCTTCTTTGTCTTCTCAGATCTGAATGTTTACGATGAGTTGATGATGTCTTTTTCTAAGCGAATTCAATTTTGTAATTCACTAAGCTTTAAGCTTTGTAAATTTGGATAATTTTGGTGTATATACGAACATTAGAGTATCAGTAGATGTCTTTCAAGGTGGATTTTGGTGGAATTTCAAGAAGAGGTTTTGAAATGAAGCTGAATTATGGGTTGGGATCTAGGTCTCGGCGGGTGATTCAGGACACTTGGGTGGTGGCGGCGGAGGCGGAGATGGATGATGGGTTGAGTCGGAGTTGTTGGGCGAATATGCCGTCGGAGCTGTTGAGGGAGGTTTTGGTGAGAATAGAGGCGTCGGAGAGTAGTTGGCCGTTGAGGAAGAGCGTGGTGGCGTGTGCTGGAGTGTGCAGGAGTTGGAGAGAGATCGTGAAGGAAATCGTGCGGACGCCGGAGGGGTCCGGGAAGTTGACATTTCCTGTTTCAGTCAAGCAGGTCTGTGTTTTTGAATTTTTTGAAACACGTTTAGATTTTGATTGAATTGGTTGTTATTGATTATTGTTTGTGACGAGTTCTCTCAGTTTTATTTATTTATTTTTTTCATATGGGATGTCCCCAACTAGTTTACCCATACTTCGACTCGACTAATCCCCTTGCCCGGTCGGGGTCCGGTCAAATGCTGTTCATCCACACTGGAAGCGTGAATTTACGAGGGATAGATCCCATGTAGCAGGCCCCAAGGGTGGTGGTAAATTGGCGTTGTTGTGGGTTGTAAATGTTAAATTTAGCTTGTGAATGTAGATTGGTGTGTAATCAGTGATATGTTGGTTGTGATGGGTCTCAAAGTTAAACAGTTGGCATTCTGAAAATCTTAGCTGTTATGGATAAAAAAAAAACGAACTTCTTGATTTTACTTTTAAGATTTAGTTTTTTCATGTATTCTCATAATCTCTGGTTATGGTTTGCAGCCAGGTCCAAGAGACTCTCTCCTCCAGTGTTATATAAAGCGGAACCGGGCTACACAAACATATCATCTTTACCTTAGTGAATCTCAGGGTGAGCATTTGTTATCTGTGTTTCTGACCACTTTTTGTAATCAATCATCTTCACAAATTTCCTTGGGCACTTGCATTAGTTTTTTTTTGGTTGGATCCCTTCCACTGTGAAATGGAATTTATTGCTGATTTTCCTGCTTCCATTCTTGGTGGAGAGCTTTTGGAGGAGAGTACATGTTTCATTCTGCCCTATTCTTTGTGCTACATGCATTTACCTTTTTGCTTTCATCTGATCTTTGTGGCAGCCCTGGCTGATGATGGAAAGTTTCTTCTTGCTGCTCACAAGTGTCGGCGGCCCACCCACACTGACTACACGATTTCTCTAAATGCTGGTGTTATGTCAAAGGGGAGCAGTACTTATATTGGAAAATTGAGGTCTCTTTTTAAGTTTCAACTGTTTTATCATTTGTGGATGCCTTGTTTTTTGTCCAAAAGGGCTAAAAGAACATCTGTTTCTTGTAATCCTTTTGGCTAGGTCCAATTTTTTGGGACAAAGTTCACAGTATGTGATGGTTTGCCGCCTCATGCTGGAGCTAAAATGACAAAGAGTCGGTCCACTCGGCTGGTGGGCTCAAAACAAGTTTCTCCTAGAGTTCCTGCTGGAAACTATCCTGTTGCTCACATCTCATATGAGTTGAATGTATTGGGATCCAGGTAAGAGAAGAGCTTATGGAACTAGAGGTAATTTAATCATTTCCAAACCAAATAATCCAATTCAGTGCATAAGTTACAGACGATATCTATGCAATCTTGTGTGAGAAAATATACAAATTTGATGAGGCTGTGCTCATCATTCCACTTTGCAGCAAGAGCTGCTGTTTTTCATTGAGTGCTTCTGAAAATAAACTTGTTGATACTTCATAATTCTTTATAAGAAGCAGGGGCCCAAGAAGAATGCACTGTGTCATGGATGCAATCCCGGTTTCTGCTATTGAACCTGGAGGGGTAGCTCCCACGCAGATTGAGTTTCCTCTTAGCAACATTGATTCCTTTCCAACACTCCCTTTTTTCCGATCGAGATCAAACCGCATGGAGAAAATTCTATCGAGTCCTCTGGATGGTCACAGGGATAGGCCATTGGTATTGGAAAACAAGGCTCCCAGATGGCACGAGCAGCTTCAGTGCTGGTGTTTGAACTTTCATGGACGGGTAACAGTTGCTTCAGTGAAAAACTTTCAGTTGGTGGCTTCTCTGGAGAATGGGCAGGCCAGATCAGAGCATGAGAAGGTCATCCTCCAGTTTGGGAAAGTAGGAAAAGACGTGTTTACCATGGACTACCGATACCCTATATCTGCTTTCCAGGCATTTGCTATCTGCCTTAGCAGCTTTGACACCAAAATTGCTCGTGAATGACATGCACCGATAGGTCTGAATCTAAGTTCTTTTATGCATAAGTGCATTTATGCAATCTAGTTAAGATCGTTGGAGATGTTCTAGTAGCATATCTACTGATCTTATGTGTCAGTCAGTGATCCAGTTGACTTCATTTGTAGGTTTTTAATTGTACAAAGGGTGTAGGATGATTTGCGGAGCTTGTCTAGTTGTCTTGTCAATCTTGTGTTCTGCATTGATGATTGCACCTTACAAATTATAGTTTGAACGCATTTCACATCAGCATTCCTCTTTGTTAAGCTTGTTAAGCTTTATTTTTATACGCCTTTTCTTCTTATGCATCAAAAAAATTTGAGAAAGAAACTTGATTTCCAAGCATATTGTTAAGGTCTTGCAAGCTAGAATTTTCAGCCCTGCCACACTCACCCGTCACTGCTCCTCCACTGCATCAGTACTTCAATAATAACTACAGTTGTGTTGTCCCGGAGAGATGAGTAATGTGAGGTGAATCTTCCTTTGCCTGTTGAAGTGAAGAGTGCCTTAGATATGAGGACCTTGTGCCTTCATTTTATAACATGCATTATGGCTGTGGCTGACCCAAAATGGACATTTTTTTGCAATGATGGGGTTGAGTCGTGCACTAGTACTCCATGGCCATCACAACCGCCTGCATCATCCCTGCACCATTTTGTCCAACCATCACCAACTCCATTTCCCCATTGCCATCACCAACACATCTACCTGTGAATACACTTGTATGAATCTTATCTTATAGACAAGCATCTGATTTTTTAAGAGGTTGTTCATGCCGAAGTTCTCTGAATGGGAAAGAAGATGGCGGTCTTTGTTTAAGGTTAGAATTTTAAGGATTCGTGGAGAAATTTTAACTGGCATGGGAGTCATTTTTTGTTGTTTTTGCTGTCTTTTATATTGCATTATATACTTTGCCCATTGTGTTCATTGAATTTCATGCTCATTCTTAGGCTGTCTGTATTCAGAGCAGGTGGAGCCTGCAGCTACGTGTACCATTGCCTTGAAATAAGAAAAAAAAAATTATTGGGTGAAATTACACTCAGATATACGCCAAAATTATTAAGCCTCTTCGATGTGAACCGACGTTTTTCTTGAACTTGTAACCTATTGTGTAATAGGAGATGCTTTACTGTCTGTCAAGTTATACAGTACCCGTTGAACATGTCTTGCTGTGTTGCTGATCAGTTTTCCCCCCCCTTCATAATGCAGCAAGCAAATTGCAAAGTTAAAGGTTCAAGATGGCAAAAAAATTGTTCAAGAGTGTGATTTCAGTGTCAGCCAATGGTAGTGCAGGTGACATACAAAGAAGCTGCTACCTTATCACAGTTTCTCCTCGTCGTTTTTGATGTCTTCAGTTGTTCAAAATGCAGGAAGAGGGTGGGTATTGGGAAAATTTGAACTAGTTGAATTCAGCATCCTCATCATACAGTTGGACTTTGTAAATCTTCCTTTGCTTGTGTACATAGTTACTGCTTTCAAGCATGTAGTTTTTTAAAGGCGCTTTAGGGTTTGTCTCTAAGATTTGAGCCACTGACATTACTTTCGTATGTTTGGCAACCTACACATAATAATGTTTGATTTGGTATAAAATTGTAGATAACCTCTGTGATGGGCTACGTGCTGGTCAATGGATCAGGCCGGGCTAGCCACCTCAAAAATTTATAGCTCAGCTCCTGTATCGATTTGATCCTAAGAACGTTCACTGGTTTAAGTTGATTAGGCCTAGTGAATCAAAAGTCACTGCCCACGACCCACGATCGTATTAGTTGGCTATTGGGGGCCTGATTGTGCCTCTCATACACAAGTACCGACTCAGTCCACTCCTGCTGCGTGGGAGTATCCGCCGGTTGGTGTCGGGTTGGCCCCTAGGGCACTATTCTCCTTGGGAGTGTATTGCTGCTAGTTTCTACCTGTTAATTCTCTTGCTGTCATTGCATAATCTATGTTGGCTTATGTTGCTGCTGTGAGACCTAGTCGACGTTTCCAAAACCTAAACAAGCAATGCACATCAATGCTGTTGGGTTGCCAGAGATTTGTTTGGAGCAGTGGACTTGTAATAGAATATGGAAAAGAAGTGGTACAGTGTTTTCGTAGCTATAGTGCATGAGAGAATCAGATTTATGCAACCTTACACACAGGAGAGGGGGTTTATCGTGACTTAAATGTTTAATGTTACGTTGCAATTGAGCAATCTTATTGTTATGCCCGTGTCCATATACTTCAGCCAACTTCCGCATGAACAAAATCCATTTTGGTTTTCAACTTTTCCAGGTATGTCTGACAAAATGCAATGCGACTCAATTCCCCGATAAGAATTGACACAAAATTAGCAGGTTTAGGTTTGAATTTGACTTCGACTAGTTCAAGTGATAAACAAGTGAACCTGTTAGACCCTTCTGTTCTGTTACACAAGTCATGCTCGGATAAAATATATCATCCCACAATTTGAACTTAAAACGGGTTCTTTGTTTTTTAAGAAGTGTCATAACTTGGTAAATAAGTTCAAAAATGTCGTAAATTGGCAAATATGTTTGCAAAATACTGCATTCTGGTAATAGATTCTAAGGTCAAACATGGCGAGGGATTGCTCCCCTAAATATTGACATTGTAATCAATCGAAAAACATTCAATCATATTAACTGCCAGAATCATAAGAAAGAGCCTTACTAAATTCAAAAGCAGTAAAATATGGTGCAGTTAGATACCATACATAAACATGGACTAAGCACTGTAACCAGGATAAAACCAGAGGAATAGAAATTTATTGAGTTTCTAAAATGGCTTCTGCATCATAAGAATTACACACAAAAATTAACACAGGCAAAGGTTCTGAGAGTTTTATTAGAAAATTTAACTAATCTAAATAAAATCTTGAACATAAAAAGATAAAAAAAAATCGACATATACAATACTTCAGAAGCTTCTCATCACCAAGAAAAAAAAATGTAGAAACAAGAAATATGGAATACAATATATTTTACCTCTCTCCATGCAATTTAACATAGGCCGGCTTGGATATGAAGGGCTAACTGGCAATATTTGCAGCTTTTTGGATTCTCCCGTAGATGTATAAACCATAACTATATTACACGCCTTCTTTCTCTCTTGTCCGAACAGAATTCTTATCTTTGTGCGAATCCTTCTTTGAGGGCTTTGACTTCCTCCTTGGAGCACCAACATCAGCAGGGTCCAATAATGGACCAGACCAAGTTTGGATGGATGCTTTTGGATATGAGAAATTCGAGGAACTGAATGGGACATCAGGAGGATCAAAAGTTGGATCAATGTGATGTGAAGATCCCAAAGGATAACCAAGTGTTCCATCCTGGTGTGGTGGAGGAAACTTCTCACTCTTGCTCTTTGCATTGGCATGTGTGATTAGACGCCGCCTCTGATCCAGGAAATAAACAAACATGACATATGAAGAGATGACAGAAGTCATGATAATATACAACCAAGAACCATCACTGACTAGACCAGAAACTGTATAAACAAACCAAGTCACTCATTTACTTTGTCATAGTGGTTCATTTTTTCCCTTTTCTTGTGTGGGTGCCGGGGGGGTATTTTTTCTCCTGCCTGCACCTGCCCCCCTGCAGCCACAGGAGGAGCAGAGAACTATGTTCTTTAAGGCCTAAACCAGCTTAGAAATGTTTTCAAAGTAAGCTCCATCAACCTATTTTTTCCATGACTACTGGGGAGTTTTGCCTACTTATCCAAAACAATTACAAGATTTTTTTTATAAAGCGAAAAAAGGAAACAATAACATGACTTCTCACACAGAGTCTCTTTATGGCTCAATCTCCTAAATAGATTACATAAAGCTTGCCTCCTACTTAATATGCAATGACTTGCCCAAATTCCTCACAACATGAAGAAAAGCTTTGGCCAAAAACCTATACAATGTATGATATTCCCTAATGAGCCAGTCAAAACATTTTTTTTTCAATTGACATTTGTGTCAAGAAGAGATTGACAACCATATACTCATTAAAAAGTGCAGCTATCTAAAAGTTTCAACAAAGAGTTGCACATTGCAGAGCTTTTTATGGAGCTGCACCAATTCCCTTACTGACAGGGCAGCTGCAATGGGCAATCTAGAAGAGTAAATTGTTATCATAAAAGGAAGAACCCATTTAGGAAAGACAATGAATTCTGTTTCATATCCAAGCTGCCCACCATGAGTTCTACGTAACACCTTGTGCGTGAAATTAATGGCCAACTGGTAGTTTTTTTTCCTACCTATATTGTAAAGTCATATTTCTAGCTGTTGAGAATGACCAAATCACGAATAAATGTTACTGAAAGAAACGTCTTATCTCACATACATCAAGATTCGCTTGCAGCTCAGCATTGGCTTCAGGAGCAGGGAATGCCCTTACAGCTCGGTGACGTGCACGAGCTTTCTTCACACCATCAGCATTGGCTTTGCCAGCCGCTCTCAGTCTACAATCATAGAGCTTACTTCAGACTATTTCGGAATGACATAACAAACCAAATATATAAGCATTCATCCAACCTCTTATCTTGGTTAAGAAAGTAGAAAAATGAATAATGGTGTGGCTGATAGTTTAAAAAAGTAATATAGGTTCAATATACAAAAACCAAACTTTTAATCGTACAAAACTATTGAAATTTTGCTTGTAATTAATATTTGTGATGCATTTTTATTCATAATCTCCAATTAGTGAAAAGTTATAATTCCAAGTATTCGAATAAATTTGCTTCTCAAACTTTATGAATTGTGTACTATATGTATTAAATAGTGGTGTTCCACGGAAAGGACATATTAATTTGTTCTAAAAATCAGTTGGGACTTCAAGGTATATACATTCAAAACATAAATGATCCACACACCTTCTAGCTTCTTCATCTCTTAGTTTAGCATCCATCTCCTTGCTGGGAGGATACTTTGGAAGGCTGGAAGGCTCACAAGCATAGGGCTTGGTTGTGAAGAACTGAAAAATGGAAGACAAATATGGTGACAACTCTCAAATAAAATACACTGGATGAGAAACTACAAACCAAATGCCATGCATGATGCATCATAGTTCTTCATACAAATTCATAGAGAACATTATGCTGGTCAGATCACTTTAAGTATTAGCTTTCCTTGGATTGCATCCACATTGACCCTTTCCCATATTCATTTTACTACGTGTCACGAACACATTAAAAGGAACAAATGAAAAACAGAAAAATATAAACTGACAGGACCATCAGACTTGCCTAGTAGGATGTTGACAAGCCTCAAGCCACCTAATAAAGTTAATGCAACTTTCTTATATCCATAACCGAGATCGGAAGAACAATCTCAATAGAAAGTCAAGCAATTGGAATGAAAGATGCCCTAATAAACATTATTTTCGTAAAAAAAAAATAAAAAAAATTCTTCCCCTTACGAATATTTAGCAGTTTGACCTCAAAATCTTCCCATAATACAAAAGCAGATTCAATATTTCACTCTTTCCCCTATAACAAACTAGCTGATCGATCCACCTAGAACTCTGGAATTTGCTTTCATAGGAGGGAGTGAGATGTCCTCGAATACGTTTTTCCTCCATTGCCCTCTTTGGTTGATCACCTGAATTCAAGTGGGACCCATTATATATATGTGGGTCTCTGACCAATACATGGTAGGTGATCTACCAAGAAGAGAAATGAAGGAAAGAAGTATCGAAGGGGATCTAGATCCCTGTAGGATTTCCTAAAACTGCCATTTCATTAGCGAAAAGGCAGACACTGTACCTAAAAGAGTAGCATCGAGTTCGATCTTCATGGTAAAGGACTAATTCATTGCTTCCCACCTTATGCTATTTGTGTATAAATTTGCCAGTTGTATACTATGGAACAAACCTCTTTCTATATCTTCATCAGTACTTTTGCCTAAATAAGTTATAACATTTATTACCTGTATACTTAAACAGAGAAATAGCTTACAGAAACCAGCCATTAGAACTTATAGTGCACCGGCAATTATTGATGAGAGGTGACTGACATAAAGAATATCAAACTGTTATTAAAATGTAAAAGCTCACTTCACTGCTCAATGCAGCTGTGGCAGTTTGACGTTCAGCAGGATCAATTGCAAGAAGAGTCTCAATTAGTGGCAGTGATGAAGGTGGGAAATCTTTAAATGTCTCTGCTATGCATCGTTTGTAAGAATGCTGGGGCTTGAATATGGTTGCATGTGGCAGCTTTGACTTCTTCCAATATTCTTCTGAAGGAGAACCACATAGCTTGAATATCTTGTGTAGCTGTTCCACCTAAGCAACATAAAACACATAAAAATGGCAATTAAGACAGCAAAGGAACTCATCAATTCAGTTACACTCTGAGTTGACTACAGCCTCTCTGTATCAAATTATTACAGTAAGGCTAACATCACGTATTCTTGCTTATGCAACAATCAAAATGACACATGGCCCCATACAGCAGCATAATTGCGTCTCTTTAATGCATTCATTATTTCAGAACATTAACGCATCTGCTTGGTCATATATGGAACACAAACTATCATTTCCTTCAGGTTACTATGTTCATCAATTAACCAGAGGTGGAAAGGTAAGCATATATAAAACCACACATCTAAATAGGATATAGTTTTAAATCACCACACCAAACATCAAAAAGTTATCGAGCGATGGAAAAGAATAACTTACAAAACAATTCAGTAAGTTGGGAAGTTACCTCTGTGCGACCAGGCATAATAGGCTTCCCAGCCAACAACTCTGCTAAAATGCAACCAGCACTCCAGAGGTCCACCCCTACACCATAGTCAGTTGCCCCAAGAAGAAGCTCTGGCGGTCTATACCATAGAGTAACCACCCGACTAGTCATTGGCTGCTTGTGATGAGGGTCAAAGAAGGAAGCCAACCCGAAATCAGCAATCTTAAGTACACCCCCATTATCAATAAGAAGATTTGACCCCTTGATATCACGATGCAACACATGGTGGGTGTGACAGTGTTCAAGACCTGACAGTAGCTGATGCATGTAACACTTGACCTACCACATTCATAGATACAAAAAGTAAGAAACCAACTCCTTTTGAACACTTGGCAGCAAGATATTTCCAGAACTAAAACAGACAGAATCTAACCTGAGGTTCGGTAAATTTGATTCCCGGACTGGCAGCCAATCCAGCCAAATCATGCTCCATATATTCGAAGACAAGGGTACAAGCTACATGACATCCTTGATGTCACTAAACCTTCTAGTTTTACAACATTAGGATGATCCAAGCGACGCAAAATCAAAATCTCCCTAGCCATAAATTTGACACTCTCAGGCTCTAAATTGTCAAATCGGACCTTCTTCAATGCAACAATTTTTCCCGTTATAGCATCCCTAGCTTTGTACACATTACTATATGTACCTTGTCCATCTAATCAAAAAAAATACAGAAGCATACAACAATGAATAAGACAATAAATCAATTAAAACATATCAAAACTGGATGCTTAACTAAACTATAACTTGCCTTATTGAGTTTTTCATATGTATCTGCTCGACGAGGGGTCCACCGTTGATTGCCTCTCCAGCAACCGCGGAGAGCCAGGATGGCCATCCGGCAGCCACTTGCTCACCGTGCACATGCTTGGGCGGATTACTTAGCCTTGGATTCGGTTTGGATCGCCTCCTCTCACCCCTAGGCCGTACACTTCCATCCTTTTGCTCCTCCTTCTGATCCCCACCATTCTGACCTCATCACCACCACCCTCTGCCTTTGCTACTGCTGCCCCAACTTTATCTCTCCTAACCGAGGGCACAGCCAAATCCCTCTCTCCCC